CTATTTTCCTAGTCACTGCACGATAGATTTGACATTTTCTGCTTTTAACTATGTTTTAGGTTACACTTTGTTTACTTAAATTCTTTAGCGGAAAACTGGACATGTTTCTTTTATTATTCTGCTTCAGGCTTCAAGAGAAAATATCCACCATGGAATCTGAGGAGAAAGTGCAAAGACAAGCGCTGCTAAGCACGCCAGTCAAGAGCATGTCTGAACATTTGTCAATTCCAATTGCTCCAAAGGTACATGTAATGGATTGATTGGAAAATGATGGTTCTTACTATTGAAATTTTTTTTTTTTTACTCAATTCTTCCGTTTTCTTTTTTACTCAGAATTTGGAGAACGGCTATCATGGGGTTGAAGAGCATAAGGTTTGAAGTTTTTCCATCTTAATATCTACCTTTTGTCTCTTGAACTTTCATTTATGTTCATAATCTTTGTTCTCAATTATAATAATTAATAACTTTTCAGGAACCCCAAAGTGCACCTCCTGCTATTAAGGAATATGGGAATGGTGATCCTAAGATGAGGAAATCTTGTGTTGACAGGCAACTTGTATGTCGCCAAAATTTTATGTTTAAATTGCTTGTGTAAACATGGTTATCTGAAGGTTATCTTTTTTGTAGGAAAACGTGGATGCACTCATTGACTGTGTAGGGAAAAACCTTGGATATTGTGCAGGGAAGCCAGTTGCTGCTATTACCATATACAAATGTCTTCTTTATTGGAAATCATTCGAGGCAGAGAAGACTAGCGTTTTTGACCGTCTCATTCAGTTAATAGGATCTGCAATCGAGGTAATCTGGCACTGGAGATTTTAGTAATGATACTCAAACATGAAAGTACCATAATTGACCATTAAGAAAATAAACAAGCCATCCCTTTGCCCTTTCCGCCTTTTTTGATAAAGATAAGATTTACTCTCCGCATGGAACAATGCAGATGTGTGAAAAATGGGCATATTATGTGAAATCTTAGTGTAGAGATCTAAATCTAAATCACCTGTGTTGTTTCTCCAACCTAACACATTCATGTTACTGAAGAGATAAGCCATGACACACTTCACTGTTGTTAATCATGTTTGTTTTTAAATGAGGCTGCTGCTATGTTCTTTTATGATTTTGGAAGCCAGTTACAGTGCTTTTGAGTTTTACAAGTGGCAAGTTTGTTATTTTGTTCTTTCTGCCAGACTCACTTTGTCCAGTGTTTGATGCAGAACGAGGATGACAATGACAACCTTGCTTACTGGCTCTCCAATACATCCAGCTTACTGTTCCTACTGCAGAGAAGTCTCAAGGCTGCTGGTGCTCCTGGTAGCGTTTCACGGAAGAAACCTCCTCAGCCAACATCATTATTTGGCAGAATGGCCCAAGTACGCTATTGACCTTTGCCGCTTGAAAACTGAATTAATGAGTTGGGGAATATAGCGTAATAAATCCATTTGTCTAGGGCTTGCGTTCTGCATCTTTTGCCAACATGCACGTCGAAGCAACAGATGTTGTGCGCCAAGTTGAGGCCAAATATCCCGCCTTGCTTTTCAAGCAGCAGCTAACTGCTTATGTGGAGAAGATATATGGAATCGTCCGAGACAATATTAAAAAGGAATTATCATCTTTGATTTCGCTATGTATCCAGGTAATGTATCCTCTCTGTAGTTTGTTTACTGGTTGTTGACAAATTCATATTTAACATTTGGTTCTAAACATGTGACCCAAAACGACTTATAGTTTATCACCCTTGATTTCTTTTAATCACAAGGCCCCAAGAACAATGAAAGCTAGCATGCTGCGAGTTTCTGGGCGATTATCTGGTCAATCTCAGAGTCAGATCAACCACTGGCAGAAAATTATTGAAAGCTTGGATAAGCTCTTGAAGATACTGCAAGATAACCATGTACGTGTCTCATTGTTTCCATATCATTCCCTTGTGCTGATCTGCTGGATGTGTGTTTACTGTTGCTTTGTTTATCCTCAGGTGCCCCCCGTTTTAGCTCAGAAAATCTATACCCAGATATTTTCGTACATCAATGTACAGCTATTTAACAGGTGTGCTTATCTTTCAGTTTCTTGACTTCTATGTTTGTGGAAACTAGCGTGGTAACTAGCATGGTCAATGGTTGTGCGGTTTTGTTCTGCAGTCTATTGCTTCGTCGTGAGTGTTGCTCCTTCAGCAACGGAGAGTATGTCAAGGCTGGTCTAGCTGAGTTGGAGTTGTGGTGTGCAAAGGCAACAGCTGAGGTGATCTGCTTTCTGTGTACATGGCTTGCTTTATTTTATTTTTTTGATTAATCACTGAAGTTTTGTGGTTACAGTATGCAGCATCTTCATGGGATGAGCTTAAGCATATCAGACAGGCTGTTGGATTTTTGGTATGACCAGTTCTACCAAATTTGCATTCTAATATATTCACGCTGAGATTCTGGATACAGTTCTGGGATCAGTCGTGTTCTTATCTTTGGATGTACTAAAGTTTCATATTCATAGTCTGGACAGGAGACAAACACAACAATTTCTGTTGTTTGATCTTGAGTTTAAACTGCTGTTCCCTTTTTAAGAGGCAAACTCGTGTATTAATACATTTCTAATATCGTTTCAGGTTATATTCCAGAAGTTCAGAATATCTTATGATGAGATAGTCAATGACCTATGTCCGGTAAATTCTTAGTTCTTCAAACATACATTTAAATGTTGAATCTCTCGTATTGTTCTCTCTCTACTTTTTTTCACTTGCAGAGTATAGAGGCTTGTTTCTAATACATGTCCTATTATCTATGCTTGTAGATCTTGAGTGTTCAACAACTGTACAGAATATGTACACAATACTGGGATGACAAGTATAATACCCAAAGTGTTTCATCAGACGTGAGTTCCTTTTCTGAAGAGCTTCACCATTATATCTGCAATCTTATTTGTTATCGAAGTTCTATTTGTTGGGTTGAAAAGTATAGAACTTCAAATTCCCTAGTTGTATGGAATTTATATATGCTGAAACTCACTGCTCAACAGTCAACAGTAGATGCGATTTCTTTTTTTTTTTGTTAAAAAATCGTAACGGGCTGCCTGCCTGTGCTGGATATTTTTACACGGTAAGGGAAAATAAAAGTAACTGGACCATCTAATGTTTCAGGTTCTTAGTAACATGCGGGTGCTAATGACAGAGGATTCTAATAGTGCTGAAAGCGGTTCATTCTTGTTAGATGATAATTCAAGGTAACATTAAGTACCATCCCATTAAACTGTGGGATTGTTATATTGCTTTGATGATTATTTATGACAATCTCGGTCTTCATGCAGCATCCCGTTCTCGGTGGATGATATCACCAACTCAATGCAGGAGAAGGACTTCACGGATATCAAACCGGCTGATGAGCTACTGGAGAACCCTGCCTTCCAGTTTTTACAGGATTAGGGCTTGTGAAGTCTCGAGCATTATGCTGCTAGATATCTTGTCAGATCATTTCTTGATTTGTTGTATTTTTTTTGATCCTTTCTACCCCATATGTGCTAGTTATCTTTTCTTTTCAGCTAGCTTTTGTAAAATTCATATAGGTATTTGTTAGGGTTGGGATGGGATTCCCCCCTTACAGTTAGAAAAAGCCGTATCTTTTAAAGCGGGCAAATGATTCTTTGTAGGGCAACATGAAATCAATGTTTTTACCCAAGGGTGGTAAGGAGGGGTAGAGGCAATGTTAGTAGGCTCTCCCCAATTATAGATTGTGTAAATTATATACTGTAAATTAACAGTGCAATGAAAAAGAAAGGAAAGCTATATAGCAAATGCAGTTATGGCATCTTCTAGTTGTCTTGTGTCTGAACAGCTCAGTGTGAGGGTTCTAGACCCCCAATTTTGAGTGCCCGGTGGTTTAGATTTGCGCTTGGTTGGCCTGTCCGGACAGTAACCAAACAGACCCGACATGCTTCAGAGCATAGTTGACATCCTAGGCTATGTACTACTTCGAATAGCCATTTTTGTCCCTCAAATATCGTTTGGCACTCAAATTTTATCTTCTTAATGGTTAACCGTGAAAAGAAAACTAATATGAAGGTTCCATTTTTCATTTCAAAACTATATAAACATATAGTTTTGATATTATGTACATATATCCTCTCACTTATGTTCTCAGGTAAGATGCCTCCAACTAACAAATATTCTTTACACATTACACTTGGCTAAGGCAAAAATCAAAGACTGTTCAGGAACACTTGCCTAAGGCAAAAATCAATGACTGTTCAAGACCTTTTTGGAATGCAGAAATTTCATAGAAAAACATAGGAACATGGATTTTTTTCTCATGTTCTAAACATGCCCTTAGTGTTCATGCAACACAAAGACAATCTCCGGAAGAATGAGTGATGGTGAATGTTGATGCTGCTTTATTTGCAAAATCAGAGAGAATGGGAATTGGTTTAGTGATAAGAGACCACAACTGTGACTCCCTAGCTGCTTCTAGGCAGGTATACAATAGGACCATTGATCTAGAACTTGAGGAGACAATTGCTCTCAGGCATGCTGTCCATTTTGTCTCAAAAATCCCATATAATTAGGGTGATAATTTTGATTGCCTCTCTGTGATCCAGAAGCTCTAATAAAGAAAAAAATGGAAAGGATTGCTCTCTGGTGGCTTTTGTCATCCATGACATCAAGCAAGAGACAAGAATTTCATCAATTGTTTTTTACTTTATTTATGTCTGTAATGTGATAGCTCATATTCGATGAAAGGTTACCCATTACTAAAAAACAATCCCTGGTCCAGCCCAGCTTTGTAGTAGTAATAGTACTGTAGGAGTGTGTTGCTTGCCTCTGCCTCATCCTCATCCGCGGGAAAAGGAGGAGGGAAAAAGAAGGAAAAAAACAAAACAAAGGGGGCGGACGGCGCGCGTGTTGTGTGCCCGCCGTCGGATTTCGAAGGTTCGGGGCAACCCAAAACCAAAACAAAGGAACATTCCCCGGGAAGCAGAAACGAACCACTCCAGGCCTCCGACTTTTCCACTTTCCAAAACTACCCCTCCCCATTCTGAGGATTTGAGAGGAGCGACGAGAGGCACTTCCGTCCGTTCACCCGCCCCGGAATAAACAAACGCAGGAGGAGGAGCAGCAGCAGCAGCAGCAGGTTCTTGTCCCTTTCCATCCGTCCCCACCACCACCACCCCCGCATCCCTTCTCCCCAGTCCTCCGCCGCCGCGCCCGCGCGTCCGCGATCGACATGGTGAAGCTGAGGTGGTGGTAAGTAAGGGCTCCTGCGCTCATCGCTCTCGGCATCCATTCTTGGTCTGGTGCGGGATTGCTGCTTCGTCTTTTTCTTCTTTTGGAATGGAGGAGTGGTGGTTGGGTTTGGTTTGGTGGATTGTTTCGTTTCTTCCTGGAACCTTTTATTTTCTGCCGTGGAAAAAGGCGCGGCCGCCTTCCTCCTCCCTCCCATCCCCGTCCGAAAATTCCGTTCTCCTCCGGTTTCTCCAGGCACCAAGCCAAATTCGCCGCGCTCCATCGCCGCCGGTGGTCCAGGTCTCGCTCCCCGGGACGGGCGAGGAGGCGCGTAATCATTTTGTTTCCCCCTCCACGCCATCCTCATTTCGTCATGCCGTGGAGTAGGGGATCCAGCCGGATGTGTTTGATTTCTTAAGTTTCTTTATTTTCGTATATATAATAATATAAGGTAGCACTACCTTGCCGGCACGGATTGTTCACGGATTTGGCTTTCTACTCTGCTTGGGGACGATCCGTTCCCTTTCTTTGCATGACTCCATGCATTTAGTGCAGGATGTTCTTTTTCCTGCTACCTACTGGGTAGGGTAGACTAATCCGTCCATGGCTCACTAGCTTCTTCAGCGCGCACATGGTTGCAGCTTGGTGCATCGCAGTCGTTTTCACCATATTGATTAATTCTTGGCACCCAATTCAATTAAACCGGCAGTGCATTTCTGTTTCTGTTTCATATTTTTTTTAAAAAAAATTGGGGATTCAACTGAATCCCAATGCTCCAGCGAGCATGGTGTCTGTCTGTCTGTGTATAGCAATGTTCATGTGCAGCTGTAATGGGCTAGTTAGCAGCAGCCCCCAGGGGTGTGGGTGAGTGGGTGAGTGGGGAGGGAATGACAGTTGCTCTTGCCTCACTTTTCTTTCTCCCCTTAACTTTTGCATTTTTCCTCAGCAAATTTCTATCACTGCTGGAACTTTACTCACACCTCATCACTTGTCTCTTTTGCAGTGAAAGCAGCTGAAAACATATCCGATACAGCTGGCAAGCTTTACTTCCTATAACATCTGTGCTTATCAGGATGAGCACCAAGGTCATGATAACGTACAAGAGGAAGCGTGCTGCCTCACATGCCCATACAGAAGACGACACAGTTCTTGATTCATCTCCTGCTGCCTCCAGCAATGTAGCTGCTGGCAGTTTACAACTTACTAAGTCTGAGGGCCCTGCTGAGACCACCGTGGTAAATGAAGATAATCATGTGAGGAATCTTGCCTCTGTTACTCTTGTAGCCTTGTTGATTTGTTATTATCTTACTATGTCATTTCTACCACTTGCTGTTGTGATTGTCCATGTTATGGTTACTGCTGTTCACAGCTTTCTTGAAAGCGCAAAAGACTGCATCTGCATCTGATTTTCTTGGGCATCAAACTTGTGGTGTCGTGTAGATGCTTGTCTAAAGTTGTCAATAGCTGCATGATTTCATGAATCGTGTTCTGAAACAGATTATTTTTCATGTTTAATCCTGATCAGTCTTCTGTTTCCTCTTCCATCAGTTTTATTGTCTGACACCCATTTCTTATCTGAAAAAATTTGCGGACTACTCCTAAAAAGCAGCAGCATCTCTCCATGTTGCAACAAAACATCAAAGAAGAATGTGGACCAGAGAAAGGACAGGATCAGCTATATGGATCATTACCACGGAAAGGGCAACCTGAGATTTGTTGTGCCACCATTGCCTCAACCGCAGAGGCACATAGCAATAAATCACAATGCATTGATGATGCAAAAAATCAAATTCCTGTTTCAAGTTCTGTGTGTGATCTCATGCTTGCTGACGGGACGATTAATCAGATAAAAGATTCAAATATCTCTGCCCCTGTGGAAATAAATTCACCTACAGGGACGGAGATTGCTGTCGTCCCTGGCCAATGTAAGAAAAGGTTTAGTCCTCTGCTCACCTTTCGCAGGCGAGTTAAGAAGAAAACTAATTTGGATGAACCAGCAGAGGAAATTTGTTCTCCGGACAATGACAAACAGTGTTCAACACTGACATGCAGCTCACCACAATCATCACTGAATGCTACACCATTGCTCAAACATACTGCTCCAAACCCTTTGGATATTGAGGATAAGGTATGTTTTTACCCTCATTTTTCCCTGTACAGCTGCATTTAAATGACATAATTCTTTTGAACATTCCTTGATATCCCAGCTTTTGTTTGGGAGGCATTTGATATAGTAATGAGGTGAAGATTGTTTAGAAAATTGTGTTGTCTTTGTTTAAAATAGCAACTTGTTAGGCCTGTCCTTTTTTTTTTCTTGCTGGTTTGAGTGGTCTGTTGCTTGGGGCCATTTGATTTAGTATTGATGTGTACTTCCAGCTCTGATGTACTGCTGTTAATTGTAAAGTTTTTCTGTAGGAATGGGTGTGTGCATAATTTAGTTAACTGGCAAACAATAGAAGGTAGCTAGTGCTCTTTTAGTGCTGACATGATTTCATAATGTATGCACATCAACTTATCTTATTTCCTGTATCAGGCTTTGAATTTTGTAATCTAAGCTATGAGGTTAGCCAGATGAGTGATCTTATACACTTCTCTAAAACGCATAACGGAATAAAACTGCAATGGTACTCAGAAACAGCCTTATCACTACGAATACGTAAAGTGCCAAAAACATAAAGAAGCCCAGAATTGTGTGTCACTGTCCAGAAATATTATGATGGTTAAAAGGTTTCCAACATCAACCAGGTAGTATTGTGCCTTTTTAATTTATGTTTATTACCTCTACCTTATATGTTTTAAAGTTATAACTATTTCTAGATACTATTCAGTGTAGGGAATGGAAAAAATGATGCTGTTAAAAGATTATGCTTTTGTATGAGTGTATTAAAATATCAACAAAATAATGCACAGCCTTACCATCTTGTAGTTGTAGAATTATATAATTTTGTCTGTAGCTTCTGTCTTCCACTGATTTTTTATGCACTATAGGTGCACTCACACTGCTTTTCATGTATTACTTTGGCAATAACCTATGTTGTAATTGACAATTTCCTCGCCTGGGCATTCAAAATAATCAGAAATCGCATTTAATTCATTTACAGGTAGCTACATTAAGAAATACTGGACCTTCTACACAAGCTGAACAGTCACCTGAACAAGAAAGGTATGATGATTACTTGCATTTGATAGCTCTGCGATTGTGATCTAGAACTAATATTAGTTGATTGATACACACATAAGGAATTGATACAAAGTCCCTTTTGTAGTTCGCACATCGTAAAATCCTCAGTTCAACATGTGGTTCCACAGATTACTCAAGACGTAAACCAAAACATGATTTTGGAAGATGATGTAACACCAGTGTTGAACCAAAAGATGACCCTGGAAGATGATGTTACACCAATGTCGAAGTTCACTGGTGTGCAAGAGATCAGTGGGCAAGATACGCGAATGGAGGACTCGAACGGAACATCACCGAATACTATTGAAGTTCCAAAAGTTATTGATGTGCAGGGCGGACATTGTACTGGGGAAACTACTTCCCTGCAGTCTCCAAGACAAAAACTAGATGTCAGTTGGTTGAAACCAACCAATAAATCTGTGGTAGAAGATATTCCAGAATCTCAAGGTTCAACAAGAAATGTTCCAATAATTGTCTTGGATGATGATAATGATGAGAGAGGCAAGGAGCTGGAAAATTCAGAGGCTCTTGATCAAGGGCTCCATAATCAAAATAAAAGAACTTCTTTCGGGAAGATCGACCTGAACTGTACTGAATTAAGACAACAGGAACTTCCCTGTTTGGATGACTCAACAGTTCAAAGGTTGCCAGATCAGGTGAGGATAATAGAACTACCCCTTTCATTACTTGTTTACTTGGCATTTTGCCACATTTCCAAATTCTCCATGCGCTAAATGAGAATGTTTTCTCAGTGGCGTATTTTTTTAATCTGTATTTGTTTCAATTTTTTTTTTATCTGAATGATATATAGCCATTAGCTTCAATCTAAATTCCTTTGCAGTCAGAGGGATGGTTTGTTTCACATACTTCATTTAATTTTTTCATTACAAGCTTGTTTTCCTTTCCTTTTGTCATATAACATACTACACTGTAAAAGAAATCTTAACAGTGCATATATTTGTGCTTCAGATGATCTGAAACATTTTCTTTTTTGTTGCAGGATCTAATTGTTAATGCTCGAAAGCAAATGTCTCAACCAATTGAAAGGTTGTTTTTCACAAAGGAGAAAGATACTATCCGTGGCAAACAACAGCAGCATGAAGAAAGCTCAACCATGCATACCTCATACTCAAATTTCTTTGATCTGGGTCCACCATGGAACACTGTGAGTTTGAAGGGACCAAAATCTTGCCTTCAGAACTCAAGTTCAGAATAATGGACAGGGCTCCTGAATTCAGTTTAGACCTCAGCCTGGACAGTTTCACAGACAATAGTGTGGCTGCCCTGAGGAGCGATAAGTTGTTTCTTGGAGGCACCTCCAGCACATCTCATAAGTTAACCGAAAAGCTTGGCACATACTCCTACAAGAGGCAGTCAGGCTCCATGGTCAGAAGAAGAGTTGGATTTTCTTTGGATCGGAGTTAGGAGGTATGGCGTTAATAATTGGAATGCAATGTTGAGGGATACTCGATTACGGTTTTCAAACTCAAGAATGCCCGAGGATCTTGCTAAGCAATGGGACAAGGAGCAGAAGAAGCTTGTGGCATCTGCTCTGGGTCCTGTGCCACCTCTTCATATGGGCGAAGATTATCTTGGTAGAGCTTCATGCTCTGGATGCTCAAAGTCTGCATTTCTTGGGGCCCAAACGGACCTTTCATTGGGTGACGTCTACTTTCGCAATGCCCGTGCTTCAGAGAGAGGTCAGCATCATTTATCAAGCCTGGGTGGGCTTAACTTTCATGGAATTGATGGTGGGCCTAGAAATATGTCCCTGGGAGGCTTCCCTGGGGCTTCCTCATATGGAAGAAGTGGCAGCAGGCGCAGAAGGGCATCCAAGCTCCATAAGTCATACTACGAGAACAAGTCACCTTGGTTCCAAGAACCATCAGACAGGGTGCCCCAGCTCCTCACCAACCAGCAACCGATCAACAGCCTTCCCCAGTGGCTTACAAAGGATGCCAAAACTGGCACCAGTCGAATCAACCCTGAGATGTGGCCAAGCATGGTGCCAGCACCAGGGCGTTCAGCCGCAGATCCACCGAGGGGAGGCTCCTCTCTCTTTTGTGATGACGTGAAGCCCCATGTCCTCCCTGGAGCTTCCCTGAAGTGCGCGATGAGGAGGAATGCGGATTGGCGGTCGTTCAGCAAGAGGCTGTTCCTGTCCGGTGACGCATTGGATCTGAACTGTGGGGCTAAAGGCACCACAGCACCCAACGGTGCCATCCCGAGCGACACCGGCGCGTCATCCGAAGAGACGGTGTCTGACAGCTGAGCCCATGCTTAACATGGGCTCTTGTTATTCCTGTGTGCCAGGCTGCAATTACATGTAGCATTCCCATTCCTATTTGATGTTGAAGCTGGTTGACAGTAAGCGACGAAAGGTGTGGTACATCTGATCAAGCTGGCATGCTCTCTGTAATGTCATGCTAGCGAATAATCGGATTGCATCTTGTATAAAGTAGTAGCAGCAGTGTATATTTTATCACCAGCTCTTTGTATCCATAGTGAGGAGAGGTTCTAACAACAGGAGTCCACTCACGCATCCACATGACCATAGCATTGTGATTGGGGGCGCTGTGTATGTAGTGAACGGATTGCCTAGTTGCTTGTAACTGCTTGGGATGGCCTAATATGCATATTGGGCTCATGCTGATTCAAATCCTGTTGGGTAATGTTATTTTCATGCTTAAGCATGGGCAGTTTTCATGAGTATATATTTTTTCTGTTTCTTCAGTTGTAGCTAGCTGCAACCCTGGCATCTTTTTTGTTTTGTTTTATTTGCCGCAGGGCTGGCCGGCCGGATGGTGTATTGGTGTCGCCTTCCAGATCGAACAAATACTCCGTAACAGCATATAGTATACCTGGACAAATCCATGGAATGCATTGTAATCTCTTTTGGTGGTTCTAATATACCCAAATGGAACAGGCTAATGACAGTATGACATCATCTTGGTCTTGGATTATGCTGACCGAGTGCAAAGGTAGGCAGCCAGGGCGCCAGGCTGCCAACTGGTGAACTAGCAAATGCATTAGTCTACTACTTGATGACAGCACTAGAGTCTAGAACCTACAGAGCTACCTCATTGTTGTCACCCCAACAACACACACAGGGCAGGCAATCAGCCAATCACCATCGTATATTATGTACAATACATTTGTCCAAGATTCATAATTGAGAACCAACATAGCCGTCTTGCATCACAATCCAAAAACCAAGCATTATCGATGACGGCCAACTCGAAGTCGACAGACAACAGGTAAGTTGGCTTGGGTTGGCCCTTCTCCTTGCCGGGAAGCAAGACCTCTAGGTACCAGTGCAGAACAGCAGCATATCATCTCTTCTCTTCGTATCCACCAGCTCTCCACCCCTCTGCACCAATGTAATGGGCATTCCAGATGAAACCAAATGAGCTCAACAGATACATAGCAAGGGAGATATGAGAGAGCCAGCCATGCCCTGGCGTTCACCACCATGGCTGCTCTTGCTCGCCACCATGCTGAGCACCACGCGCCTGCTGGCACTTGCCGGAGGGATGGCACGTCCCGGATGCCAAGAAAGATGTGGCAACCTGAGCATCCCCTACCCTTTCGGCATCGGTCCTGGCTGCTTTCGCAGCGGCTTTGAGGTCAGATGCGACAACGACGCCAGAAGAGCCTACCTGGGCGGCGAAGGCAGTAACGTCTGGGCCTTTGATATCTTTCTGCTGCATGGGGAGGCTCGAGTACACAAGCATCTGACGTGGGACTGCTACAATGACACTGGCATCACTGACTTCACTAGATCTCCCATGGATCTAGCATCTTATTACCAGATATCACATACCAAGAATAAGTTCACGGCGATTGGATGTGACACCATCGCGTTCATCCAAGGTGAAAATGCAAACTCTTACACCAGCGGATGCATGTCGTTTTGCAGCAGCAATGCAAGCGTCGACACCAGTGGCCAGTGCACCGGCATGGGTTGTTGCCAGACATCAATCCCGGCAAACCTCACCTACTTCAACACCACCTTCTCAACAAGGCGGAGTACAAGCGTGCTGGAGTTCAACCCATGCAGTTACGCCTTCGTGATTGAGACCCAGCAGTTCAGGTTTGATGTCTCTGACCTTGCAGGCCACCATTTTGCTGACAAGTACAGTGATGGCGTGCCTCTTGTGCTTAACTGGGTTGTTGGGGAAGAATCATGTGATGAAGCAAAGAAAAATATGTCATCCTATGCATGTCTTAGCAAGAACAACGAGTGCATCCCTTAAGTCAATGGCCCAGGGTATCTCTGCAACTGTTCCAGTGGCTATGGGGGGAATCCATATCTGGAAGAAGGCTGCCAAGGTAAGCAACAACCAGCCTTCAATTCCTCTAGTTCAAATAATATGCCAGGTTGATTTAATGAGCATCCTTGTTTTCCTGGTTACATTAACAGACATCGATGAATGTGCCTTTCCTGAGCAGTATCTTTGCCTTGGCCAATGCACTAACACAATAGGAAGCTACAGCTGCACATGTCCAAAGGGAACTCGGAGCACTGATGCGAGTATGATAAATTGTGTTCCTTACCAGGATCCTACACAGACTGTAAAGATGGTGTTAGGTAAATCCTTATCTAGCTGTCTGTATATATCATAAATAGCAACTATACGTCAATACTGATGCTCATGGAGACACAAAACTGCAGTTGTGCTATAGTTCAACTAAGGTTGAATCAGAATTAGTTTACTTAAGTACAATCAATGGTCCAATTCACTATTAGTAATAATTTAAATGTTCTGTACAGTTATGCTTATTTATTCGTGCACAATACTAAGAAAATGCCAATACCTTGTTTCATGTGATTTTCCCCCTTCAACCAATGCAAAATAACAGGAGCCAGTGCTGTATAACAACCTGTAATGTCAATAGATCAATATTTTCTCCTTTCTTTGGTTATTTATCTTATTTTCATAGAAAAATACCTGGTGACTGTAGGTATCTCTATCAGCACAGTCTCTCTCCTTGTTTGCATTTTCCCTGTGGCCATTCAATATCAAAAGAGAAAGCTCATCAAAGAAAAGGATGGTTTCTTCAAGCAAAATGGTGGATTTATTTTACTTGAAAAAATGCGATCAAGACGAGTAGATACAGTAAGAGTATTCTCAAAAGAAGAATTAGAGAATGCAACCAACAATTTTGATAAGAGAAGAGAACTGGGAAGAGGGGGACATGGCACGGTCTACAGAGGGATTATGAAGGATAACAGAGTTGTAGCCATAAAGCGCTCCAAAGTTTGCAACACAAACCAGAAAGATGAATTTGTGCAGGAAATCATCATACTTTCTCAAATAAACCACAGGAATGTGGTCAGGCTTCTAGGCTGTTGTTTAGAAGTGGAAGTTCCCATGTTGGTCTATGAATTCATCCCAAATGGCACTCTCTTCCAGTTGGTCCACAGTGAAGGGTCATCCATCTCATTGGATGACAGACTAAGAATAGCCCTAGAATCCGCAGAAGCGCTGGCATATCTCCATTCATCTGCATTCCCACCCATAATACATGGAGATGTAAAATCTTCAAACATTCTCCTAGATGACAACTACACAGCAAAAGTGACTGATTTTGGTGCATCACACATGCTTGCAAAGAATGAGACCCAATTTATGACAATGGTCCAAGGAACTCTTGGCTATCTAGATCCTGAATATCTACAGGAACGGCAGCTAACAGAAAAGAGTGATGTTTATAGTTTCGGGGTTGTCATATTGGAGCTAATCACAAGGAATACTGCAATATATTCTGAGGATTCCAGTGAACGGAAGGGGCTTGCATCATCTTTTATGATGGCAATGAAGGAGAACAAGCTTCAGGATATGCTGGACAAGAGCATAATAGGGGTAGGGATGGAACCACTTCAAGCGATTTCTGAACTCGCGAAGAAATGCCTCAGCATGAAGGGGGACGAGCGTCCACAGATGACCGAAGTTGTTGAGCGGCTTAAAGTAATAAGAAGAACCTGGCAAGAAAAGCTGACAGAGCACCATGTTGTGGAAACAGAAAGTCTATATGCAAAACCTTCCTCTAATTGCCCTTCCAGCATTGCACAATACGGAAGCATCGGCATAGAGTTGGAGCATGGCAGATGAATCGAAAGCAGCAACTGAGTTTGAGTTTTATACTCCGATGTTTCGTAATGGACAATTGCACCCATTACTTGTAAGAATGCTAGATAAAACATCATTAAACAGCAGCGTGTTTCTGAGTTTCAGTTCTATACTCCAATGTTTTGTAATGGAGAATATACACCCACTACTTGTAAGAATGCTTGATAATCGGGCACAGCAGTTACTTGTAAGAATGTTTTGTAATGGAGGATATACACCCACTATCATCATTGTAAGAATATGCTTTTACCCCCTACTTTTATGGGGTGTAACTTGTAAGAAAAGAGAATTTGCTTATTCTTTTCCTTTGAGCTTATCTCGAGGAATTAAGGACTAGCATGAGATCCAAAATAGGAACCGTTTCAATGAATAAGCGAAGCAAGACACCACGCCACAAGTAGTTATGATTCACATCCGCACAGCAGCAGTAGCATATCTCCTCCAATATAATGTAGCCAACAAAAACAAGGACGCGCCTACAGACAAAGCCATGAGCCATCATAGATCGTATGGTTCTACTATAGCATAATAGCATTATAATTTCTACTCATGAAGGGCACATCAGCGGGGACAAGGACAACCGCATAGATCCCTGGATCTGTAAACGAAGCAATCGAATCCAAATTTTGGAACTACTAAACAATCGAACCGGACTGAAATCTGGAGCCCCCTAACCAGGACGGAAGCACAGACATGAAGCTCTCAAGGCGCCGGCCGGTACAGGGAGAGACAACGCATACCCAACACCAGGCAATGCAAGCATACCTCGGACGCGTCGCGAGTGGGGGACTCCTCGCCGGCGACGGCTCAACGCGCCACCGCCGCTGCGCGCAGAAGCCTTCGCCAATCGCCAGCATGGAGGAGACGGCAAGCGAGGGAGAGAAGAGATGGCCTGGGCCCAAATTTGTGTGTGGGCCGAATAGAGAAAGTGGACCGGTTACCCAATCTGAGACATGCGTTGGGCTGAACCTTTCACTTCTATTAGGCCATGTTCTGCTCAAAAAAAAAAACCCCTTCTATTAGGCCATGTTCGGTTATACCCCATTCCATGGGTTAGAGGGGATTGGGAGGGATTAGGAGGGATTTTGACTTTCTAGGGATTTAAACCACCTCAATCCCCTTCAATCCTCTTGGATTCATTTGCAACCGAACATGGCCTTAAGGGGGGAAGGTCTTTTGACCGCCCAACTTTTATCAAAGCTCTGTTTACCCTCTTATAAATAAAAAATTTGCGTTTTTTAATCCCTCTGGACTTTTGAAACCGGTTGCAATCGTTTCCTTGGTATTAGTTTCGATGCATCAGCCATGAGGGAGGTAGTTTGAACTACGTTGATATTTCAATGAAGACAAATAGGATTTATTAGAAAATTATAGAAATTTTATTTTCAAAAAAAAAAAATACTTTTTCTAGAAAAGTTACACAATTTAAATCCTAAAATTTGATTTGATCTTAGAAAACTCATATAAAACTTGTTTTAGATCAAAAAGTGAAAACCAGCTTCTATAAATCTTTTAGGATTAAATCATATTTTGGCATTTTTATTGCATTTTAGAAAACATTTGGATAATTTTATTGATTTTTTTTAAAAAGTCTACTTGATCCTTGAACTATCAACGTAGTCCGATTTACCTCTCTTGCGGGCGCGACTGACGTGGTGCCACATTGCATAAAACCAATATCAAAACCCACTAGCACTACTACAAGAATTTTAACCGAGGCGGGCAAGCCAACCGCCTCAGTGCAAAGGTCATAGTTAATCGTGGCCTTAACCAATATCAAAACCCACTAGAGAGCAATGTCAATCGGTTCCAAAAGTCGTGGGAGATAAAGTGAACTTTGATGAAAGTTAAGAGAGGTCAAAGGACGTTTTCTCTTTTAAATTTTTTTGCTCCAATCCCAAAAGGATCCTTTATTAGTCCTCCCCACCCTTGTACAAGGAAAAAAATCTCTATAAAAAAGTATAAATTTATGTGTGCGTCACCTTGTGCAACCAGGAAAAAGTATAGAAAGGGTTCACCTAGCCGCCCACATTGTTTTCCCTAGGTTTGTGAGTGATTTTCTAAATGGTATTTTTCAAAACAAGAGCATCCAAACCAAGTAGAAATTGTCTCTGAAGAAAAACAAAAATATCCTTTTTAGTCAGGTTTTGTGTGATTCATAGCCACAAGGCCCATAACCACAAAAAAAATTTTCACTTCACGGGAAAATTAGAACAAGCAGGGATAGACCCAGAAATGGGCTAGGCCTCGGGCTCAACGCCTACCTTCTTTCCTCATTCTGCACGCAAAAGATGAGAGCCACTTACTTTCAGGCTGTAGTCTATGTCTGCCTCTTGCAAATTAGGCTACCAAATACTCCTTTGTACTTATCCATGTTTATTTTGCAATAATACTTATCCTTGCATGTTTATTGCCGTCTCCACGTAGACACTCTCTGCAGCATGGATTGAACACCGTCAGATTAGGGCTTTAGGTTAGTCTCAGTAGAGATTTCATGTCTTAGTTTCTAAGACTTTTGTGTGGTGTTGGAGACAGTGTGAACTGGTTTTATCTCTATAAAACTCATTTTACTCTCGTAAAACTTTGATAATATCTCTCTTCATTAATATTATGCCATGCAACCAGGGGCAAAGATAAGGGGAAAGGGAGCCCCCCCTAAGGTTGCTTAGTATATACTAGGACTTCTCATTAGTTGTACTAATCTTAAAAATTATAGGTAAAAAGTCTTCCCAACTAAGGTAACAAAAGTCTAATTAGAAATAAAATATGTCTCCTTATTGTGTTTTTTTCAAGTTATATATATCTTGGTTGTATAATTTTTTGTGGCTAGATAAAATAAACATGATGACAATTGTAACTATGTCCCTTTTATTATCTTCTGTTTAGACAATTAGCACTTGTCCAAGATGAAGAAAAAAGACTAGAGATGGTTTATAGTTTTTAAGCCAACATCAAGGTCAATAATTCTTTAAGCTGATATTAATGTATGACACTGGTAGTTGTTGATACTTAACGGACCGCCATCTTCCTCTATATCTGAATCCTGGCTCTGCCCCTGCATGTAGCATACTTTCAAAGTTGGTAGCTTATTTAATACTCATCAAACTCACTTGAGACTAGCCTTAATTACCCGTTGTTTTAACAGTAAGTTGATGTACATTGATTCATCAGGTACGTACGTACCCTTTCAACTTTGCATTGATGAAGCAAGCAACAAAAGTCATTGCTTAATGCATGCATGGATGATCTCACTCACTCACACACTACTACTACACTAGTAAACTTTGATGCGGCATGCGTGTGTCCAACGAAAATTGAAGGCTACGAAAGGCCGGAGAACGAAGTGATCGATATTCTGCATGGATCGCAGTATTTGTTAAAACTAAAAACTAGGGTTAGGCATGTACCATGAGGGCACAACCTTCATGTGGGAGTGATGTGATTGGGCGATAATGTCGATCACGGCTGGGCCGGGGGTGATCAGTGATACCACGTATGTCTTGCTCCTGCCTGCCTTTCTATATCGGGAAACGTGTATGAACTGCTTTTCATCTCGTAAAATGCCGCGGAATATATGACGGCCGTACCTAAAGTTTTTAATATTACCTAAATGTAGGGTGAGATCTGTGTTGTTGTGGAATGCTAACACGCCTTTTTTTTCGAGTTGGAAGAGAATTGTTAGTACAATCGCCTTTGTTTAGGATGGAGAAAAAAGATGGGATGTTACCATGGACGATTGGATGCAAGTGGTTGATGCATGCGGCTGATGATTAATATTATATCATCATTAGAGTAAGAGATTTCGAGTTTCGATTTTGGTGTGGAATTGTTCTCCGCTCTTATTCCATATTGAGTACGTCGATGTGTGAATCAACATAAAAGAAAATTGGGCAGCTCATGTCTGGTGGGTCGGCCTCTATGTTGCACGCTCCCGACCTCGCTGGCAAGGAATGTTAGTGGGTAAACCTTGGTACACTAGCTCATGCTAGCTTGATGTTCGGCAAAGCGATTCGAAGGGTGTGATCTCACTTGATCCGATCTAAGCACAGGAGGGTACTTACCATGTTCAGGTCCGCCCTGCTAGGGTAAAAGCCCTACGTCCTGGCGGGTAAGTCAGTCTCATATGCAGGTAACAACATACCTTTTTGCAAGAGTGTGTACTAGTTCTAGGGTTTTGAGATTCGATACCCCCTAAGGGGTGTCTTGACCTCCCTTATAGTGGTGAGAGAGCCAAGGTTAGCTCCGTAAATTTCGTGGAGAAGACCAAGACAAGTAAGGAACGTGGTTGATACACTAATCGTACAACAGTAAACAAGGCCAGCTGGTGTTTATGCCTAGTGGCCCTAGTAGTCTAGGAACTTTCTTCCTAAGGTTCTTCCTATCTTGGCTGGGTATGAAGGTTCCAATGCTCCACCTTTGGACACGGCCACTGGAGGCCAAATAATAGTACAAAGTAGATGGTTCTATCATCAACTAACTGACTCTGACACGATAACATAAACTGTTTGGAGCGCTAATGCGAACAACCATTACCGGTACGACCAGTTCGCTTATGTAGTGGCGGGACCCGTGGGGTCAAAACAAGTCATCCAGTGAGAGATTGCAAGCATTGTCGCGAGGTCACAATGTGGCGGGCACAGTTCACCACAGGTTGCACCTACCACTAGGGTCTCCTCCCCCACCTAGGACCCATTGACTCCCTAATGGTGTGAAAGAAGTAGAACGACTTCAAGTTAGAGTCTAGTCGCTCAAAGGGCCACCGCATGGGCCTAATACATGTCTACTCGATTGGACCCACATGGAAGGTTCTCAGTAATACCTACCCTAGATCCCGTGACACTAAGAGAGGCCTCACTGAGGGAGCCTCCACATGAGGGGGATGTTGATGTACCGCCTCCTTTTCAAAATACAGGATGTATATTAGGATTAGAAAAGATCAAATTGTAAAGTTCGATTATCTATTAGTCAAACTTTCTTTATAT